TATTATTAGAAGCAGTATTCCCACACTGGCAATCTCAAGACACACCTCACCGGTCACCAAGGCGTGACGGTCTCTGGTAAATACGCTAGCAAGGGCCGCCATGCTATCAAGGAAATGGACGAGGTCAAGGGTATTAACACATTCTCAATCCATTCCCGGTTTATTACTTATATGTTTTTAGCTTGGTACACTGCTCTTGTTGCTAGTATCCCTACGAAGCCTCGACTTCCCTTCACGAAGGGTAAAGGCAAGAATCGGAAGGCAAGTTATCTCTGATTTACTGAGAATGTATTGCTAATGTATTACAGATTTCAGTCAAAGCTGTGAGGGATTTCCTCACTACTAAGCACATACATAATGACTGCAACGCCTGCATCACTGCTAATCTCAGTAAGTGATTCTTGATACATCCTTGATACATTGTTAATATATTATAATAGAATGCGGTACTGCCCCATTCACCTGCGAGTATCTTTCTCGCTTTTGGGATGTGGACGCAGACTTTGAGCGTCTCGAGGAGGAAGCATAAATTTACAATTATTCTTAATTCCTTGACCAAAATTGTAAGAGTTAATACAAGTGGCCATATTTTAACCTACCTACGCTTTACCTGTCTATCTATCTCATCTAATTCTTGCTGCCGTTTACGATTAGCAAGCTGCTTTTTGAGTAATTGTGCCTTTAAGTCCTCCTCTCGGAGCTGATGTTCAAGCTTTTGGATAGCAAGACTATCATAATCTTGTCGTAGGTTATCAGAGGCAACCCGTTGTAGGTTTTGAGCTCTGTAATATATTAATAAAATATTCTGAAAGCAATAGATACTACTAACCTTGGTGTAGGTGTTCTTGTCCGACGAGGAGTGGTTATAGGGGATCTAGTACTAGATCTCCTTGGTACACTAGCTGAACGTCGAGAAATTGGTACACCAGAGGTTGTATACCGTACACTTAACTCATCAGGTATGGAGAACTCATCTATGCTAGATGAGTTCTCAAGCTGATTAAGTTCCTCTTCTAATAGCCTCTCGTGGCGCCTTTTTTGTTCTGTAGAAAATTTTTTTAATAATATATTCTCAATATCTTTAGTATTCTCTTACCCTTTGCTAGGTGACGATCGAATGCTGCGTGAATACCATTCATCCGATAGCTTTGTCGTATTCCTATTTCTTGGCGAATAGAATAAGCTTGAATGCGGTTCTTATCATGGGCAAACGAACTGGAAATATCTTATTAATATGCTAGTAATATAACAGGACAAAAGTAAGAATAAGAACTTACTTCAAAACCCCTCGTAGAAGTGAAAGCTGAACACCGGTACTATTGATCATATGGTGCGATTGCTCCACTGCATTTGTGTTCTTTCGAAGTCCTTCGAAAATCACATCAGGTATCTGACTCCAAGCTTTATTTAAAGCTGCCGCAACGTAAGGAAGTTTCTTATGGCGGGCCCATTGCTGAATGACAGCTGATGATTCATGATCTAATAATAAATTAATAAACTATTAAGAATCGGTTTAAGTATACTTACCAATTATCCAGTCTAAAGCTTGAATATACTCCTCTCGGTTAGGAATGTCGATCACTGCTCGCATCCTTTCCCTACATCCAGGAGTGACCTGTTGCCCATGAAGTGCTCTATCAATACCTCTGTAGAAGTGAGCTCTACAGAAGACAACAAATTGTTGGATAAGGTCATCAGGTGATACCTGGAGAGTACTCTTATCGGCAAGAAAATCTCTTAGACCTATAATAGATTAGTAATATATTAATAGTATATGGTTTATTTCTCACCTCCATATTGCTTTGTATCCATATCCAGAACAAAAGCATGTAGCCCTGTATAATGGATTGGATAAAAGTAGAACTGACGGCTAAGCACACGCTCCATACACTCAAAAAGTCGAGTAAACAGGAGATAGTAGGTTGAACGTGTCTCGGAAACAACAATCACACGTGCAAGCGTAAAAACTATAATATATTAATAATATATCCCACTTTTATCACAGCAATATTTACCTCTGTCTTGTTCCAGTATAAACCTTGAAAACGTCACCTCTCGCATTGGTTTTTGCTTAAACCTCTTAAAAGACATATCAATCTCTATCGAGTCAGAGTTGAGGAAGAGGCCCGCCATCTCAGGAGTAAAGCAAATAATCATGAGATCAGGATCTACATAGATTTGCTGTACATAGTCCTAAAAGAAACATTAATAAATTCCTAATGTATTATAAACGTACTATTACCTTTAGTGGAGGATTCTTTTCCATTTCAAAGATCAACCCATTAGTGTCCTGCCCATGCGGGAACTGTAGGAGTCTCTCCTTTCGAATAAGCGCACCAACTCGGTCCAGATTCCCAAAGCTTTTATGGATATCAAGAAGCGAGGAGCTATTGTTATATCGTTTGCATAAATCTTGAAGCTCAGGGCTAAGAAGAAAACGTCCTAATTTCATCAATTACTAATAACTTCTTAATAGATTAGAAAAAAATGGACTGAGAAGAAACGTACCTGTTGTCAGACCAGGGTCATTTCGGAGACGAATTATACGTATGATTCCGTCTAGAATTGCTGGCGGAGGCTTTGATGGAGGCGGCGGAGGATGCGTATGAATACCAGTCGAAGTGAATACCCAAAAAGGACAGGAAGAAAGGTCTACTGGAATAAACCAATGGAATTCAACCGAGCATTTCTGGTGCCTGATTTTACCAAGCCCGCGAGTATGATCAAATTCTATAATAATATATTAATAAAACATTTATATTGTATTCAGAATGTCTTCAGACCTACCACAATAGTCCCCACGGTGTCGATTTGTATCGATATAACCACAGGTTTGAATTTCCCCCTGGATCTCTCTATCAAGGATTTGCCTAAGCAATTCCCGGTCGATACCAGAGTCAGGTCGCACGCATGATGCAAAATGAGATCTTGGATTTTCGTATGAGTTAGAGCAGTAGATATAAAAGTCAGATCCACCAATAACACTCTAAAGTATAGATAATTAGTTGAAAATATATTAAGAATAGACTAAGAGTATATTACTTACATCCTGAACCCATCCACCGCGTGGAGAACAAGTATCCTTCCAAGATACGCATGAAGTGCGATTGATCTTAAACTGACGCATTGTAGATTGGTACAATCTATACGTTGCTGGCTGTAAAGGGTTTTGGGTATCACTGAATGCGATATGTTGGCGAAGCTCTTTGATCCGCTGCCAAATGTCCTCAGTAACATGCGAATGCACCATTTGCTTGAGCTCCGGATTTGTAAATTCGCACATCTTGACCCCTGTGCATTTGTAGAAGCTGTGTAAAAAAGCGACCCTTTCTCCAAAGATAGAATCATGCTGGTTGCGCTTGTTTCGATAGGCTTGCTTTGATGAGTATTGTATCTAATACATTGTTAATACATTATTGACATATCAGGAGATTAATATACCCCTTCAATAGACTGCTCGACTGCGAACAAAGACCGATCAGGCACATTAATCACATATGTAAAGCCATCTGGATCTGTCCGGGGATATTCAGGTAGCGCTGAAGTATATTCAATAAAGCGGGTTCGAATTGGCGAGCGCTTGTCGTGTAAGATAGTCCGCTGGAATTCCTTCAAATAGTAAAACATTATTAATGCATCGTTAATATATTAAACATATTTCAAGCATACCGGGGGTTCATCCAGAGCATTTGCAGGCTCAGGAGCGCCTTGGACAATAGCAGAAAATGCGCTTTCCTCACTGTTGAGCTGCTGCTGAAGCTCCTGCTGAAGCTGCTGCTCCAGAAATGCACTGATCTCTCCGTCGTTCTCGTGGAAGACTGCCATACTAGGTGTGGGTGTAGAAACCACAAGAATATGAGATAGACAACGAACTACCCCGCCGACCCATGGTACTGTGCGAGTGAATAATACATCAGTAATTTATTAAAGTATTCGCTAGAAATAAATTACAGAAGCCAAGAACTTAGGTCTGGCCTGGACTTATCGGGCTTATCAGGTCTGGCCTGACCCACCCGCAGGTGTTCAGGTCACATATGCACTCCACGATCGCAATTTCTGACTCACTCGCTTGGGTGACTCACTCGCTTAGGGATTACGTTAGTTGGACGACCTGGATGGACGTTATGATCCAGATTCCAGAACAGCCCATAAGTCAGACTTCAGAGACTGCAGTTCATGAGAATTCTCCAAACTGAACTGAACTGACTGAACATGACTGAAATTAAGGCTCAGTTAACTAAACTGTGTTGTTTACGACACCCCTGCTGCAATAAAGTGAGACTGAAGCCGTTAAATGCTTGAATTTATGCTCATTATCCGACAAGTTTTCACGAGGGCTGCGCACCGTCGACGGCATGAGTTGACTCATACTATTCATACATGAAGGACTCTGTCACAAGGCAATTTCCTAATGGCTGTAGGTCAACTCTGGAATAGTGCACGAGTGACGTCAACAGTGCTGTTGGGATTGGAGTCAACTTTGCTGATCATATTCTAATCGGTAATTCAAAAAGAAATTTGAGGTCCTCTTGAATTTCCATGCGCTCACAATTGCCCTCATATCTCCATCTTATGATGGCCACTCTATGCCGTACGCACGTCACTTTACTCGCCCGCCTAATAAGTATCGTGAAATATATTGCATTGCAATGTAAATGTTCAGAAGTGTAACGTGCACGCGATGGGCCATTCCATTGGGTGTAAATAAAAATGTAATTAATGGCTGGGAAATTAGAAAAATTATGTAAACGACTGTGCTTTCCACTTCTTTCCAATCTCAATCCAAAAACTTCTGTAGTAGTTTGGTGTGGCTGATCGATGTTGCTCTGACAAGAGCATGTGATGAGGTGAAATCAAACCAGATGTCAACCTTCCTTGGCATGTCATATATCAAATTATCCCTTTTCTTATCCGGATCGATTCGGTAGCAGTTTATTTTCCGGTGCCACACGAAGGACGTAAACGATGGATTGGTGCCACACTAGCTAAAGTGTCGGGAGTCACCAGCTTCGGCGACGGCGCTGCACACAGTAGATGATCAGGAGCACCCAGGCAACAAACTTGGAGATACTACCGAGGACGAACATGGCAACCCCGCCGTAGTACTCGCTGTTATTGCCATCGAAGCAGGTGTAGTCGTAGGTGTAGTCGTCATAGTTGGATTTAGTTTTGCAAGTCGAGTAACCTGCCGAAAGATAGGAGCCGACCAGGGCGCCACCGATGATGAAAAAGACAATAGCAGCGATAAAGAAACCGATGCACCACCACTTTGATATCTTGTTGCGTGGGGGCCCGTCTTGCTGCATGTTGGGCGCTTGGTTCAATGAAAGTAGGAAAGGAAAGCGATGGAAAGGAACGGAAAGGAAAGACTGCTTTGAGAATTGGCCTCTCCAGAAAGTGAGGGGAAGCCCAAGTCCTCTTAAATGTTCGAAATTTTCGTACACGAAAAAGAAAAAACAAAAGATGATGTGACAAGTTCAACACATTGATCGACAACACCAGTTCACCAAAACACAAACTTAGTGCTGGGTCCAACATTTTAATTTCCACTCATATGGAGTCAATAACAAACACAATTTTCCTCTCAAAACAAGTGGTCCATCTGCATGAAAGTGTTCGTGAGCAAGTCCTCGTTCACCAGGGGCAACTTGAAGAACTTCGCTAATTCTCTCTTCCAAACCGCAAAATACTTCTGATAGTAAAAGAAGAACACAAGATAGTATTAGATGTTAGGCGCCTCTGCCTTCCCGTCATTACACAACCTACAACCAAGACAAAGGGGGAACCAATATGGAAGGTGGGATGGATATTCAACAACAAGGCTCATCCAACCAAGGCACGAGGCTGAATCCATCATAAGGTTTTGAACAATGTAACGAGCAAATTTCAACCTGTATAAAAGTATAAAGGTCTATACCACCTGCAGCAGCCGTAAATAAGGTTTTGAACCTTTTCCAACCAAGGAAAAAGCTTGTTTACGAAATTTCTGGATATCTTATGTCAGGAAAATGGTGATCGGCACCGGATTGACTTGAACAGTACCTCTGTCGAGGATAGTGGGGTAGCACCCGAAATAGTTTAGTTCCGTTTGTGTCGTGATATCTTCATTTGTACTAGGGGATTCTCGACACTCCGAGATCGGGAGGTTCAACCCCTCACCCTCCTCATGTAAGCAAGGACACCCGAACGTGTCCTCGCAGCGTCCGCTCTTTTCTTCTTTTCTTCAATCAATTCATCCTATCTTTTTGGATTGGTTCCCCTCGGTAGATTAGCCCCATTCTTGCATACAATGCCATACTGTATCAGCTAGCTGCGACAATTACAAAGTCATGCCAAGCAAGTTTTGGCATCTCACAGAAACTATAAAAGCCCAATCCCTCGAATAAAAAACTTCTTCCTTTCTTCATCCCTCGCATGACATACATACTTTTACTCAACTCCACCATACCAATCAGCCTTTCCCTCAAGAGAAAAGCTTTCTCTAATATGTTGCCAAAACGCCTTGCAGCCGTGGCGGTGTTTCTACTTGGACATTCAGCAACCACAAAGGCTGATACCCCAGCCTCACCTGGTTGCAGTGGTCCAACCACCCATACTCGTGGAAAGGAATGCTTCATCGATACATTTTATTGCGTCAAAGGCCATGATACGTATTGGACTGCCCCGGCTCTGTTCACGGGAGTTGAGATTGGCCCAGACCCGTCAGGAGGTAGTATTTCGGCGGGGTACTCTTATACCAAAACTACAAGTGTCACTTGGCCCAATGCTGCAGGTACCTTCGATTTGTAAGTTTGCTTTCTAAGCTTTAGCATAACCCACTACATTTCGGCTGATAAGACGTCTAGCGGAGAAGTTTCGTCAATTTTCGCGGCCGGAGGCCTAAACTTGGGAGCAAACTATGCTGTTTCAACGGGCGAAACCACTGCCGTTTCTGGTGTACAGGCATGTCCACCAAACATGAAATGTGGCCTTACAGCATCTGCAAAATTACTCCGAGTCACCGGAGAATACCACACCCAGTACCTTGGGTCTTGTCCCGGTGAAAGAGATACAACAGTTTCGTTCACTGCTGTACGTAGCAGTTCCCTCAAGACACAGTAATATTTCGCTAACAAGTCATCAGATCTACCCCGTGGAAGTCGCTGGTGGGTCAAAAGGCAAGAGTAATCTAGTCGCCGATTTCAGCGCTTGCTCAATTGGGAAGGATGTCAAGGGAATGGAAAGATGCCCAGGCACTGATCCTTCGGATACCACAGCCACCAAGCCCCGACCTCCAAACACACATGATTCTGGCGGCTTTGTTCCATTTCCTGGGGCTGCTTGGTTCAAGACAAAGCCAAACAGCCCAATTATCGATGCCATGGGCAAGCGGCTGGTAGAGGAAGGATGTAAGGCGTATAAGGTTGGACCTGGTCCCCAGTGGACGGGGGCTGATCAGGACTCGTACAAGTTGTGGCAGCAGAAGCTTCGGTTTAAAGGTGCCAACGCAGATGGGTGGCCAGGACAGGTTTCTTGGGATAAACTCAAGGTTCCAAATTAGCTGCCTTGACCCTGAACAACCTGCGTTGCCACTTGGCATGGTTCACGCCTCCACTGCAAATTTTTCTATCAATGATCAATAACATCTGAAGATAGTAGCGGCTGTTGTGAGCAGAGGCTCGATCAAGTACAGTAAAACCGGGTTATAATGAACCCAGCTAAGACGAATCCCTTGTTATAAAGAATTTGCCACGCATTCCTTTCTAACATTCCATACAAATAACGAATTATCCCCCTTACAACGAAATTCGTATAAATAGATAGGATTCCTGTTTTTCCCATACAAAAATCTTCAACAAATCGTAATACCCAGGTACCACGTGATCACAAAATGCCTCGCCGTACAGCTATCCCCATCTCGCAAAAGATTGCTCTACGCGCTCAACGACAACTCCAGCCAAAAGCTTCGAATATAGAGCTGGCTCGCTGGTTCAAAAAGACTTTTCAGCACCCAATTGCTCTATCTTCAGTTTCTGAAATCCTTTCCTCACGATACAAATGCCTTGATAATCATCTATCTCTACACCAAACCAACTCCAAGCGTATCCGAATCGAATTCTGGCCCGACCTAGAAAAGGCCTTATTTCAGTGGGTACAACAAGCAGAAGGACCGATCATTATCAGCCAGGAGGTTATACGCGAGAAAGCGCGTTTCTTTTGGGCTAAAATTCCCAGCTATCAAGGGAAGGATATGCCTTCTTTTAGTAATGGTTGGCTTGCTGGGTTCCAATCTCGACGATCAATCAGAGCCTATAAACAGCATGGAGAGGAAGGCAGTGTCCCTGAGACTGCTTCTCAAGCAATGAGACCTATCCAACAGCTACTATCGACGTTTCAGCCAAATGATATCTACAACTGCGACGAGACGTCACTATTTTGGAAGCAGGTCCCAGATCGAAGCCTTTCAACACGCAGTATACCGGGGAAGAAGAAGGAAAAAGCAAGAATTTCAGTTTTATTTTGCTGCAATGCAGATGGTTCTGAACGCCTGCCACCATGCTTTATTGGTACAGCTAAAAAGCCTCGTGCTTTTACAGCTGCGGGAATCAATATTGAAAACTTTAATTGCCAATGGTATTCCAACCGCAAAGCCTGGATGTCAGGCCAGATTTTTGAGGGATGGCTCCGATGGTTTGATAATACTATGAGTGGACGAAAAGTGGTTCTTTTACTAGATCATTTTTCTGCTCATAAAGCTGCTTTCGAACAAATCGATGAAGGCCCTTCTCCTTTGAAAAATACCTTGGTTATTTGGCTTCCGCCTAATTCGACAAGCCGTTTTCAACCTCTTGATCAGGGAATTATTCGAACTTGGAAGGCTTACTGGAAACGACGATGGGTGCGTTTTATCCTTGAAGAGTACGAAGAAGGACGAGACCCTTCAAGATCAATGCATGTCCTACATGCAGTTCGATGGGGTATTGAAGCTTGGGAATTTGATCTTTCATCCAAAACAATCCAGCGATGCTTTAATAAAGCTCTTCGCTCTGAGCAAATACAGCTCTCTGAGATCAATCCGATTATCTCTGATATTACTAGGGATTTTCAAGAGCTTCAGCATTCATCAAGGATCAGAGATCCTATGGATATTGACGACTTCATTAATCCGAACGATGAGGTTGTACAAGATAATATCCATGAGATAGATGATCTAATTCTTTCCCAATTTCAACCTGAAATTGAGCAAGAAGAGGATGAAATCATTCAAGAACTACCCTCTATCTCAATCAAGGAAGCTATTGATGCATTGGAAAGGCTTCGGTTGTACGAGGAGCAGCAACCTCAGGGTAGTTCTTCATTTTTGCGAGAGCTTTATAAACATGAAAGAGTGGTGAAAGGGAGAAAATTGGCAAACCAGGAGCAGAGGGATATTAGAAGTTATTTTAATGTCTGAATTTGATTATTGTGGTTATATATAATGGTTCTCGATATAGCGAATACTTAGATATAACGAATGAATTTAGCTGTCTGAATTGATTCGTTATAACCCGGTTTTACTGTACTGGCGGACAGCCCGGATATATCCTGTGACGTATCGGTCCTCGGTGCCATTGTTCTCAATGTGGTTCAGCACCTGGCGGGCCCCTTCTGCGATGTCGTCCATCGATTTGGGTGGGTCACGGGGTACCATGGTTTTCGGTGGTCCTCTCCTGTCAGGGGGCAATTTCTGTACATTCGCACCAGTCGCAACCATCGCTACCATCGCGCCTACAAAATAGGTATCAAACGATAGCGCATGAAGTTACGACAATGATGAACTAATTCTCAAGGCCCTGAGACCTCTGATTGGCGAGATATTTCAAGAAAACGTTTTTGCCAAGAAAGAGTTGTTTTCAGCTCCACGAAACAAGCTCGTAAACAAGCTTTCCGGATTAAACCAGAACAAAAGATCAAGTCGCGGGAAACCTGGGAACAATATTCCAGTTTTCCACCACATCCTTCAGAGATAAACAAGGGTTGCTGCTCAACGGCGAAGATTGATACAGGTTCGGATTCGGAAGCTCACGCCAGCCACATTTACATAGGACCTATCACGGTTGGAAAAAGGTCACAATTCCGTCACCACAGGATTACGTTACCCTTTCCAAGACCAGTCGTTGCGTTACACTCTCGTACTTCTCTCTTCCACCAAAGGGGAATTTTTCGAACGAATTATTTTCAAGCATGCGCTCGGTGAAACCTTTGTGTCAAGTCCCTGGCAGCATTTCATGACTGAGCTTTCTCTTCAACGCCAGCGCAACACAAAATTTTGGTTAATCTCATATACTCTGCAACTTCCGTGCCGTAAAGCTTCTTTAGAACAGCAAAACAGCCAACATCCAAAGGCTGTAAAAGATGGGAGGCATGCGAAGGCATACAAATCGGAATGATGTTGTTTTCTTTGCAGATCTGGTCGAATCTGGCTGTAAGATGGCTGTCGTGGCCATCAAGGACTAGAAGTCTGAACTTCCCCTTTGTCTGACTTGTTGTATGTGGAATAAAGTGTTTCTGGAGCCAATCTAATCCAATATCATTGCTAGTCCAGCCTCTAGGACTAACATTAAGAGCCCACTGCTTTGGAAGGTGATCGAACCATCTAGCCATGAAGTTCTTGCCTTTGAAAATGATGTATGGTGGAAGGGCCCTCCCAGATGCGCAGATAGTTTCGATAACTGTGACCCATTCACGATTCCCAGGCTGCAAAACACCTCTCCGACCATGGAAAAATGCTTGCGTGATAACCTTCGAAGTCGCATTTATCCCCATGGAAAAGCCACATTCGTCAAAGTTGTAGATATCGTCCGAAATAATGCCATTTTCTCGGATTGTTTTCTCAACCAGCTTAAACCACTCAATTATTATGGCTGGGTCCTCATTCTCGGCCCTCTTGTAGTCATATTTGCGTGAGAAACGAGTTTTCAGGCCTGGATGCCTTTTAATAAACTCAGTTGGCCAATTTTTACCCACAGTTGGTGGGTTTGAAGAGGAGCTAGAACCGCGAGATTGCAGCAGTAAACTAGCCATATCTCTTAACATAGAGATTGTGAGAGCTGCACCTCTCTGATCCATAGATATTAACCAATCCTGGATAGAGTCCTCTTCAAGCTGAGTAAATTTATACAGAACTGAGCGAGTACCGGACTGATTTTTTCGCCCTTGGATCCTAGCACCGAGAGTTGTACGTGGGACATCAAAAGACCGAGCAGCAGCAGCGACCGAGGTAAATCTGCCATTCTGAATAGCTACGACCTTCCTGTTGAATTGATTTTTGAGCTTTTTCTGAGCGTTTTGGAGGCATGGTGTTTGTTTGAAAACAGAGGGTTACTACGGAGACGAAAATTGCGAGGCGGTGACCGCGTGTTGAACAAAAAGGGGGGCGCCCCGTGTCGTGGACACGGTCAAACAGAGGTATGAGGTGCAGGACTATTCAGGTGCTCCAACACCGCGTAGCCGGGATGACCGGCTAGCCGGGAATTACGTTAACAATTCCCCTCGCGGCAGGGAATTGTTACGGACACAACAGCTTTTTACTAACGTAGTTCCCAAGCGAGTGACGCACCCAAGCGAGTGACGCACTACGGCAGCCGATAGTGAGGTAGGGGCCAAAAGTCGAATTTGGCAGGCAGAAAACGGGCGGTAGGATTAATATAGTAATCTCGACACCTAAGGTACGTAATTTTCTGCCAGAATCTATGGATAGGGAATTTTGACATTGCCAATTAGGTTTCGTAGAGAAGGTGACGTTGGTTTTATGGATCATATGACCATATAAAAAAAGCTCTCCAAGTGCCCATAATCTGTTTACGTGCCAGAATTTGACCAATTTCGATGATTTTAGGTGCTCAAAATGGCCTAGATATGCATTTGAAAGCTACTTTAACTAACCAGACTCTGTTGTTCCACCACGAGGGGCCATACTGCGCGTACGCCGCGGTGAGGTGGCCCCTGATAGTGCCGAGAGTGCTGCCACTGGAGTACACCTAGCTCTATCTTTCCTGACACCACCACGTCGCCGCGGGCGCCCACGTTGCCGGGCACCTGAAGCCTCTCTTCGCTGCGTTATGTCCTCCTGCGGTATCTCCTTCGATGTCTCCTGCTGGTGTGCTTTCTCTAGCTGAACAATTTTCTCACTAGCAATTCTAAGTCTCTCAGCGAGGATCTCCTCCTGTGACGCGGTACGCGACTGGAAGCTTAGCCCTGGGGTCTCTGGATTGCTCCAGTTACTGACCAAGCTTGCCTCACGGAGAGGCTCTGACTCGGACTCAGGCTTGATGACCACGTCCTTATCTATCTCTTCTTCACGTATGATGATAAGGTAGATCTGGCGTGCTTGGCTACCGAAAGTAAACTGCGAAGCGAGCTCTGCCGCGCACCGTGCATGGTTTTCAGTAGCGGATAACCACTGTGGTTCCTTCTTTGGTTTTTGGCCCTTTAGCCCAGTCGCGAGCTGGTATCGGTCGATGTGTGGTATCGGATTATAGGCTCCAAGCTCCGGACTAAGCGCAGGAAGAAGGTCTCTTGTAATAAAGTCTTGGAAGTTAAAGACACGGTGGGGAGAGATCCACTGGGAGACGTCAGCTACAGTGTAGCGTCTATTAGCAAGCGCGCCTTGAAAGAATCAAGTAATAGAGTCATACTTACTGAGTTCGTCCATCGTCCAAGTTTTTCGATCTGATGATGGCTTTCGCCAGAGACAGAAGTGGATAATTGTCGGAATTCTCTGCTGCTGTGGTGCTAGCATCTGCGCTGGTCTGCTCTTCTGCATATGGAGCTTGCGATGCCTCCCTGCTACCCTACCCGTTATTCGCTGGCTGACTAGGCTGTATGGCTCAGGAAGGAGGTGTTCGTTTGGTATGAGCTGACCAGGTCGTCTCGGTGGTGCTCCTGAGTAGACGGAAGACGAGGAGGATGGTGAGTCATCGTATGTGTCTGTTAAATCAACGAGATCGGGTGTGTCGCTTGGGTAATAGTGAGAGGCCATGCTTTGTAGATGTAGTAGCCTAGGAGATGCAGAGGGCGCAGAGTAGGTGCAGAAAGCCTAGGACGCCCTCTACACCCTGTCTCCCACTAAAGTTGAAAAAACTAATGATTGATAGTCATTAAGGTCCTACCAAATATAGGTATTGATCTCCATTGATCCCCATTAATCTCCACCACGGTGCGGGCCCGCAGCCCGCACCCTTAATCCTGCGCCCAGTTAGGGGGCATAGTTGGCTTCTCGCATAGTGAGAGGACGGGAAAGAGGCCCCCTTCGGTATGATCGACAGCGAGCTCCCGTAACCGAAGGTAGGTATTGACATATGGGTGGGTGCCATGGTCTCTCGCTGGTGGTTTTTCAGGGTCAAAGCCCATGCCCAGTAGCTGAGTACGGCACCAGTGTATAGTCTCTGTAGGTAGATATACGTCAGTATCCCAACTCCCCACGTCAGTCTTGATAGCATCAAGCTTTGTAGGGTCAATATGATGCCTATAATCCTTAATATCCTCCTCGTCACGCCCTGGGTAATAGTAGTTCAACCATGGCTTGCCTGGAACGCTATAGGGGCGACCCTTCTGCTTCCTGATCCGATGGGAGTTCCATGTGAGCACGAACTCCGCACATGTATCCTTAATTGAAGGCATGTAAACAGCAAGAAGTGCAACTTTGTCGATCTTAGACGCCTCGTAGTAGCCTCGCTCTTGAAGCCAACTAAAAAGCTCACGCCATACGAAGTTCGTAGAGCTTGTAAGCTGTCCCCACCAGGACTCGATGCGCTGGTTTTGGGTGCTGCGACCGTACCAAAAGCAGTCGGTAAACTGTAGTTCTGGGTGGCCATCAACAGCTTCAGCGCCAGCTTTTCTTAATGCATAGTGGGCGTCTGCGATCAGCATGGTCTCTGTACCATAGTCAGAGCGGATCGCGCGCGGTTGGAAACCAGTGGTCGATATTGTATTCAGATACTGGTGGAGGACACTGAATCCGGTCCGCGTGCTGATGCCCACGTAAAACCAGGTAACATAGCGCGAATACCCATCAACCGCAGCATATATCTCGATCCCGAAGAGCTCTAACTTCATATAGCCATCAATATGCCATACAAAATTCGGCCCAGGGCATCGGTATGCACCGCGAGACCGCTGTAGACCGGTCGAGCGACGTAGGAGGGCGTCAGGCCGTAGAGAGCACCATACATCGAAGATTCGGTCTCGGGCGAAGACATGACCATGACGGCGTAGATGGGCCCAGAGGTGACCTTTTCCATATCCTTCAACAAGGCCAATGGCCTGTTGGTCCACTAATATCTCGAGTATCTCGTCCTCCTGCTGCTCCTGATCATCCTGGTCGTCAATGCGAAGACGTATACCAAGTAGGCTACGAATTCGCCTGAGTGTGTCGGTAGAGATAGGTGTTTCATCGAGCGAAAGTACCTGAAGAATCTCTTTCGAAGAGAGATTACCCTCACAGATAAGGGTCTCAACACGCATTTGTAAGGCTCTGTTATTGGTGATACCATTTGGTGCTCGCTGTTGGATGCCCCAGGCCCGCGTGCGACGTTTGAATGTCCTCGGTGACATTTTGAGACCGTAGTATTCGTGTAAAATGTCTAAAATATTGCTTATAGGTATCTTCTGTGCCAGAAGCATGGTAATTTGGTCTTTGTATGGCTCCACGTCGAGCCGTGGGCGACCAAATGGCATATCAGGTCTCTATAGGTGGTCAGCGTAGTCAAAAAA